CACACATTATGTCATGTCAAGCTCTGAAAGGGTTCTACAGGATCAATGCTATCCTCACTTGACAGATGGGGAAATAGAATACTCAGAGAAGCAAAAGTGATTTGCAGCATTTAGAGAGGGCCAGTTACGCGCTAAGGATACATACAGGGAACAAGAGAGAGAGAGCTGCTTGTGGCCTGTGGGTGAAAGAATAGGACTGATATTTCAACCTCTAAAGGAGTGCACAGGGAAGATTTAATGAAGTTTGCTTATAGTTTAGACAGTGCTTCTCAAACTTTTTGAGATTTGAGAGCAGACGAAAATAATACAAAGGCCCAGATTTATGGCGCACTGGTGTAGACAAGCACAGTGGCTCCAAGCCCTGGCTGCCCTGGAATCACCAAGGATGAATTCTTAACATACTGATGCCAGCCCTCACTCCCAGAGATTCTGATGTAATAGAACTTTGGTGGCACCTGGATAGTATAGTTTTCAAAGTTCCCTGGGTGTTTTAATGTGCACTCAGGGTTGAGACCAGTGGTGCTAAGGCTTCTTGGAAAAGTGGGGGGAAGTCATTTCTTCCTGGGTTGCCAGATTTAATCAGTTTGTTTGTCTGCGTGGCCTTTCCCAGGGTCAGGTAAATGCAATGCACTAAATGATCTTCCTAACATCCCTTCCCCACTCAGGATCACTGCTCTGATTAGGATGCTTTTAAAATGCATTTCTATGATGCACAAGTAAAATGAAAGCATTTAGACTTGGTTAATTTTTTTTTCTTAACAATGCTGCCCTCTAGTGTCCTTAAATAATAGAATCATATAAAAAAAAAACCACTTCAGGCATTAGTATGGAGATTTCCTGTTAGACATCTAAACACTTGAGGAATTTTACTTTGACATTAAAAAAAGAATAATATGCATAAAATTTAATTTGTGGTAACATGAATCTCCAACCGTGGCCTCTCAGTTCTCCCACAATTTCTCCCTGCATTCTGCACTGCAGCCTCCTCCAAGGATAAGAACTCCTAAATTAAAGCTTTTACTACAAATGAAACTGAAAATAAGAACCATGGTCCTTTTGCCTTTCTAACTATTTTATTTTTAAAATAATTGGGGGAGGGGAGCAGTGACAGGGACCATTTGTGATATTATGACCAGTCAATATGGTTCTAAAGACATCCTTTTTCTCAGAACTTGGTGAGAAGTGCCTTTATCCAATAAAGGCAAGATGAGAAGAAAAGAGAAAGCTAGTTTTGTTTATTTGGTCCATGTTACAATTTTTGTTGTCCTTTCATTCTTCTTCAAATTGTACTACTGTGATCAATCAAACTCGACTACAACTCTTGCAATACTATTTCCATGATAGGTTGTTCTCAGAGATAACGATTATATTTATGACAAAGAAAAAAGGACTCCTGGAGTTCTTTCCATATTCCACCAAGCTCTTGTCTGCAGGGTCAGAGGCCAGACAAATCAGGGAGCAAGAAATTACCCGCAACTAAAGTGCCTGGGGCATTGGAGCGTCTTGGAGTGTCTCGTGTAGGACATTCCACCATCAGAACTATTTGTTCTCACCTTTTCCTCACTTCTCTTTCCTCACATCCACCTCTTAGTCACTTGACTAAGAATTTATTGAAAATAGAATTCATCACACAGGAGCTCCCATGTCTTCCTGTGACAAGTTCTACAAACCTCTTGGGTCCCAACATCTTGATAAAAGTCTTTCCCACCCCACAGATGCTTTGCCCCTCCTCCACCTCACTTTAACAAGTCTCTTTCTCCCTCCTTCCTTCCCCAACTCCCTAGCCTGTATCATCAATAACTCCTCTTTCTAGGTCACTTCCAAGGGCATACAGGCTTATTCTTACATCTTACATCTCTAAAATAAAACTCTCCTTTGACCCTAAATACCCCTTCGGCTACTGTCCTATTTCTTTGCTCCGTTCACTTCCAAACTTGGAAGAATGGGCGTGGGAAGAGGAAGTCTTTAGAGCCTGCCCAGGTTGTCACTGAAGCCTGCCTTTTCCCACGCCCACTCGTCCATCTGCTCCAGCCTGGCCTTTGCCCCCTCACACCACTGACACTGAAACTGCTCTTCTTGTGATCTGCAAGGACCTCCCTGTCCTGTGGCCAAATCCAGTGGACACTGTTTTGGGCCCTTCTGACTTGAATGCTCACGGCGTTCCAGTGTGTGGGCACAGCTCCTTCTCGAAGCATTCTCTGCTCTTGATTCTGAAAGTTTCCTGCCTCTCTGGCTGCTGATGACCCAGACACTGCAGTGTCCTCTCTCCGACCCCTGGCTGGCTCTTAGGACCTCTTCCCTTTTCCCTCTGCAGGCTTCCCTTACATAGTCTCATCCACTTCCATGAATTTAAGTACAATTAATAGACTGGTAACTAATAAATATGTATATCACCTCAAGCCCAGGTTGCTTACTGTGTCACTTATCCAACTATGTCTACATGTCACCTCCCCTTGAGTATCTCACAGGCATCTCCATTTTTTGCATGTGCAAACAGGAGCCCTTCATCCTCCACCTCCCAAACCCTGTTCCTCCCCCCATCTCCCTCATCACTGTAAAGGACCAGGTATCTGGGAGATCGCTTTGATTCCTACCTTTCCCTTAAGTGCCACATTCAGTTTATCTGCAGATCTTGTACATTCTACCTCTAAAATATGTTTGGATCCGTCCTTTTCTCTATTCCACCACCCTATTCCAAGCCACCCTCATCTCCTGCCTGGAATACTGTAATACCTTCTTAAACATCTTCCTGTTTCCTCCAGTTCCCCTGCTATGATTCTTCATGGCACAGTCAGAAATTGTTCTTCTGAAGAGTAAACTACATGCTGTGCTTCCCTTACCTAAAGAATGTTAATGACTTCCCATTAAACTCTGAATAACAGACAAATATGGTTTGCCCTCTGCCAACTTCATCTTGCACCCTTCCCCCTTCCTTACTAGACTCCAGCCACAATGGCTTCCTTCTGATTGCTGAAACTCACTAAGCTCTGCCTCAGGGCCTTTGCACATGCTGTTCCATCTGTTTAGCATATGTTTCCCCTGTCCTTCCATTGGCTGGCTCCTTTTTATTTTTTCATGCCTACATATTACTCCTCAAGGAGACCTTCCTTGACCTAACTACATAGGTATTCCCTTTCATTCCCTATCTCAGCCCCCTATTAATTTACTTCCTAACACTTCACATTTCATAACTACTTACTTGTTTGCATCTCCCATCTTTTTCACTCAACCTCCCTGAGTCCAGGAGCTTTGTATCTGTTCTACTCAGATGAACTCAGCAACTTGCGCAGTGCCTGGCAAATGTTAGGCTTTGAATTCATGTCTGTCATAAGTGAATGAAGGTACAGGAAGAGTCAGAACTTCCACTCCACCTTAACGCTCTTGTCAGGGCCTCAGTGGCTGCCATGTGGCCAAGCCACCACAGTGTTCTGTGCTCACCTGACTTGACTACAGATTAGACACAGGGAAGTATCTTAGGTTCAGTTTATTCTCTGTTAGCCTCGTCAGTGTTTACCAACATGTTTGATTCACACAATATCCCCAGCACCCAGTCCAGCAGACACTTGATAAATACTGTTGATTCAATAAATTCCTCAGCTCCAAATGAATGAATCAGGATGTGAATGGAAAGGGAGCTAGTGTAACGATGGAGATGTCCAAGGGAGAGAATGCTTCTGGGGCAGAAATTTTAAAAAATGGCTTTCAACTTCCAGAAATGTTTATCATTGCCATTTGCAAAACAAAAGAAAAATGTTTCCTATAATTTTGTATATCTCATTTGCTTTTTAAAAGGAGAATGAGTTTCATGGCTTTCATTGCTGAGTTAGTTTCCTTTGCTTGTAAGCCAAATGCTACCTCTACTGGTAGACAATGGTGAATAAAAGCATTCCAATATTCCAAAGAAAGAGTGAGGAGAAAGCAACCAAGTGCAATTTAAAATGGTTTACATAAGCCAAAGCAAGAAAGCTAAGACCCTAACCCTTCGTCTCATTTCTAATCCTGTCCCCTATCAATTTAGACAGTGCTTGCTTGGGAGAAATAAAATGGGAACACTTCTACCTCAACTCGACTTTGAGGCCAGGATTGGATTCTTCTGAGGGACAGTTAGCCCACAGGTATTAGAGGAACACAGAGAAATCGAGGCTGCAACCAGTTGAAAATGGGGTGTTTGGCTAACCTGCTTGGTAGGAGATACTCAACTGTGACTGTGACTTTTCACTCAATTGAACCTGAGGCTCTCTTGTGCTCTTTGGTTCTGTATCACATCTGGCTGGTGCCAAGAGGATTAGCTCAGCTCCACCCCTCTGGGGAAGGTATTCCTTGTCAAGCTAAAAGAGGCTGATGAGCACACTGGGTGGGGCCACGAGCAGGTCCCGGTGAAATTCATTACATGGGTGTCTTCAAATAAAGCTGAGTTCAAAGTGGTCAAGGACAAGTAGTGCCATTGTGGGCTGGAAGCCACTGTGGCTTCAGCTGTTTGTTCAGCATTTAATAGATTTATCTTTCTGCTAAATACATTGTTGTTGAGTCATCTCTGTTAAACAGCCGCCCTGTGTGAACCCTCGCTCTGCAAATCCAGCACACAAAGGCCGGCCTTCTATCCTCAGTGACCTTACATTCTGCAAAGTCAGAATAGATGCTTTCTCTTACTCCTCCCCAGTTCTGAAAGAGGTGAATCATGTGCTCTTTTATCAGGCCAGGAACCATGAAGCAATAAAAGTAAAGGAAGAACTTAAGGTGGTCATTATGTTTTTAATATCATTTAGTGTTATTGCTTTAAATGGAAATGGAAAGTCAATTTACCCCAAAGTACCATTAGCCTCCAAACCATCAATATTTCATGGGAGACTATTATGTTGTCACCAATGTGAAGTAACTACATTAATCAAATAAATAATTGCATTAAACTTCTAAGCTTTGGGCAGGGGGAAAAAAAAGACAAAGACCACATAACTTTGAAAAGCAGAGGAACTCATGAAATGCTGTTTGGCCTTCCGTAGAAATTGTTCGAGCCATGACACACGTGATAAACCAAGGGATGGCGATGTACTGGGGAACCTCGCGGTGGAGTGCTATGGAGATCATGGTAATTTCATTTCTGTGTTTCAATGGCCATCGAACATCTTATTACAGGCATACCTTGTTTTATGCCACTGTACTTTATTGCGTTTCACAGATATTGCATCTTTTTTTACAAATTGAAGGGTTGTGGCAACCCTGCGTCAAGCAAGTCCAGTGGTGCCATTTTTCCAACAGCATTTGCTCACTTTGTGTCTCTGTGTCACGTTTTGGTAATTCCATGTCACCCCCGACCAGCAAAAAGGTTACCTCTTGCTGAAGGCTGAGATGATGGTTAGCATTTTTTACCAATAAAGTATTTTCTAATTAAGGTATGTACACTGGCTTCTTTTAGCCATAATGCTATTGCACACTGAATAGACTACAGTATAGTGTGAATATAACTTTTACATGCACTGGGAAGCCAAAAATTAGTGTCACTCGCGTTATGACACTCACTTTATTGCGGTGGTCTGGAACAAACCCACAGTCTCCCAGGTGTGCCTCTATTGTTTTTCAGGTACCATGTCTAAATTGCAAGACCTCTTGCAATCTTTCCTTACAATCACCATGGCACTCAAATTCTATGATCAATTCCGTCATTACAGAGATGGATATGGGAGCTAGATCTCATCAGCTCAAAATACAATGGGGGGGGGGGATGCCCGTCTCTAACAGGAATCGGGTTTTAGCACGTTCTTTGGTGGCAAGAGGGTAAATTGAATTTCTCAGCTAATATATGAACACAAAGTTCAGTTTTCTTTAAAAACACTGTATTAAATAACTGTACTGTTTATTACATGCTAATTACAGATCACTTTTAGATATTAGTCTAAGTTTTATTTCTTTAGAAACCTAAAACTAGTCAAACTGCATTTTCTTTATAATAGTCCATAATTCACACTTGGACTAATTTTCTCTGGGCTTTACTCAGTCCAAACCCTCCCGAAGACTAAAAAGGATTTCTTGCATTTGGCATTGATCTCTGTGAGTGAAATTGATGGTCATAACTTTGCTTATTATTTGGCATCCTACATGTTTCTTGGTTTGTACTGATATCACGAAAATGAAAACTTCTCATGCACACACATCACAGGGCAGCCTTATGTCTCATCAGTGTAAACCCGGTTGCAATCTCCTTTCTCCCTAGGAAGCCTATTCTGTAGCAAGACAATTCAATATGATCCCTCCGGTCTGTGAACAAGCCGAGTACCATCTTTTCCAGAGAGAGAAAGTGGAGGTGCAGCTACCAGAGCTCTACCACAAAATAGGTAATCTTCACAGTCAAATTTACTGATTATTTTTAACAACAGGAAGACCAGCGACCTGGAAAACAGAAGTTACTGAAATGCTTTCTTAAATGTCCCTCATTAACATACTGAAAGATGTAAGAGCTCTGCGTTGCAGAGACTGTAGGAGAATTAAATGTGCTTCTGTGTAGTCCGCAGGCAGATAGAGCAGAGCTGCAAATCGTGACTGGCACATAAGCTGTACTCAGTAGTTGCTGAAAAAAAAATGCATATAGGATGAAACAAAGGAACCATGAATTAAACTCATAGAGCACTTGCTAGAGCCAAAGCGTGCATCTTTGAGTGGATTATGACTGTCTTTCCAAAAAGTTATGAATATATACATCTATATCTCCTACCCGGTGGCAGAACTGAATCAGGGAATTCAAGAAGGACTGACAAGCCAGATACTGTTTGTGGAGGTAGACAGTGATTTCAGAGAAGGAAAAAAATACATACACAACATATACACAAGAATTTATATACACAAGAAAAACACAAATCAGCCACATTTTCAGGCTTATATCAAAACAGTTTCCAGAGATAACTTGTTCTCTAAGAAATAGAGATTCACATGAGCAGAAAAATGCTGGGTAAAGGGGGAAAAGGATTTAAAAAAATTCAACAACAATAATTGTTATTATTGCTATCATTTACTGTGTGTTTACTGTGCACTAGGCATTGTGTGTCTGCTACGTACCAGGCACTATTTGGGCACCGAGTGGACAAATAAAGAGCTGAATTTCTGTGCAAGTAAAAGCTCTCGTCTCTGAGTGTAAAAAGAAATGTAGATATTGGACATCAGAAAATTACGAATAAGCCACATTTTCAGGCTAGTTTATATGGCCTGTTCCCTGTAACCAACAGTGCATGCTTAATTAGTTTATAAAAATGAAGCACCATTTGCAAATGCCTAAATTTGAATAGAAAGGTGTGTGTTGGTATAAAGTCTTTTTATCTGGCCATCTTTCCTCCATAACAAGCCAAGTCCTGCTTAAACACCACCCCACTTCTGATCCCAGTTTGCACAAGCAACTCCTAAAGTTCTTTTTCTCCCTCTGCAGGAGTTGGGGCAATGACATGGTCTCCACTGGCCTGCGGAATCATCTCAGGAAAATATGGAAACGGGGTGCCTGAAAGCTCCAGGGCTTCTCTGAAGGTATTTTCCTGCAGCTCTAGAAAAGAGTCTGGGGATGGGAGAGAGGGAGGGACAATGGAATAAAAGAGCCGAGCCCGTGCAGGCAGAGCGCCATGGTCTTGGCCAGGCAGTGTCCTCTGGCAGGCTCCCGGGAGCCCTGAGCCCTGAGCCTGCCAGAGGTCTCTGCCCCTGGCCATGCATCAGTCAGCCCTTCATAATCTGCCAGCACAAAACCTCCTCCTCCTCCTCCTGTGGGGCCTGGGGGAAATGCCCAGTGACCTGGTTAGACATGTCGGGGCTCAAAGTACATTGTTACGTATTCTTATGTTAGAAAAGGCATTTCGTTCCTCCTTTGAAACTGATGAAATATAAAAATCCCTTTTCTATATAAGAGGATCTAATTTTCCTTTTCTTGACAAAACAAAATGTAAGCCACAGAAATGTAATCCATGTGGGGCTAACTGGTTGTCGCTGAGTGCGGTTTGAGGTTGGTTAACATTTTTTACTGTGTGAGGGTGGAGGGTCAGGAGGGAGGGCTGGGGAAACAGGAACACAGCCAAGCGTGTCCCCAGGGCTCACGGCTGGCCTTCTCAGGGGTCAACTCTGGCTGCGAAGTCTTGTAGCTTCCAATTCTTTTCTGAAACATAAAGATAGTCAAGATCACTGACATAAAATTACCTCCGTTCAGAAAGTCTCAATGATGAAATTATCAGAGAGTACTCCAAACATCTCTCCTTATTAATAACAGCATGTCTGTTTAAAACAAACAAAAAAACAAACAAAATAACCTTGAGAGAATGTGTAATAACGTTAGACTCACAAATTACTCTGTAATGTTAGGGAGAGGCAATATAGGCATTTCCAAAATTCAGACAAGCCAAAGGCCCCAAAAAGGAAGCAGGAGTCTGAAAGCCTCTTGCTTCCAGCCACACAAAGTTAGCGGGAGGTCAGCTCAAGTTCAGTCCAAACCACCCACCATTTCATCGCTGTGGCTGGGACCACCATGAGCTTCCCTAATCAGAACCTTCTCAAGGCCTGTCACTTTCCTTTCTCCCTGTAACAGTTAACCTATTAGCTTCTTTGTTCTCTAAAATAATGCAATATAAGCATGGTGACCTGCTAAAGACAGGTGTCCTGTCTCTAGTTTTGCATTATCACAAATACAGTTATCCTAGAATATTAAATATGGTCTTGCTTCTGAAAACTGAACACTGTTCTGAATCAAGTCTAAATAAGTCAGCAAAGAAAAACTAAAAAGCATTTCTAAGAAGAAGGTATAAAAGGAGGAAGGCAAGAAGAGAATGAAGAAGGAAGGGAAGCAGGGAAGCATTGAAAATTGCAATTTTACTGAGCACCTACTATGTGCCAAGCACTGAGCTAAGTGTTTTTATTCATCTTTTATCCTCACAAAGACACATGGATACATGTGACTTTTAGTCAGTTGTAGCTAAGCATGTTGCTTTACATTCTTTCAGAGACTTTCTGAAGAACTCACAGTACTTCCCTATATGTTGGGTATTTGTTCTTCGACTATCCTTATGAGGGTAGACCTTTTCCAGATGTGGAAACTGAGCACAGAGAGGTTAGATACCAATCAAAGAGCATAAACGCATAATAAAGTTGCTATTAGAACCCAGGTCTCCTGGCTCTCAGTATCATTGCCTCAAATCCAGTTTTTTTAAAGAAGGAAGGAGTAGCTACCCTGTATTTGGAGTGTATGATTGGTCAACCTCCATCACTGTTTGGGAAAAGCTTACAGATAGCTGAAAAAACTTTCACAAATTCACTAACAAAAGGAGAACAAAAAAAAGAAAAGGAGATACAAAATATTTGAAGGTGGCTAAGCCCAAAAGCAACTTAGAAAATATTTCTATTTTTGACTTTTATAAAGTCAGCTCCATCTATTTTGAAACATCCTTAACAATCAATATTAAGGGCTCTCAACAGGTGAAAGGCAGCCAATCATAAAGGCTTCCTGAATCATCAGGGCAACCTTAGGAGTGAATGAGAATGCTAATGGTTAAAAAAAAAAAAAATTACCATAGAGAGCCAGGCAAGTAGATAAATGAGTTGGCAACTTTCACATCTCCTTAACCCCCACCCCCACACCCCCCAAAAATAGAATAAATGACTGCTGTTTCACACTGGCTGTTCTAAGTTATACCAATGAAATAAAGGTGCTAATATTTTGTGTCTGTTGTAAATACTGAACTGTATTTGAAGGATAAATTAACCCAGTGTGAAAAATACCTATCTTTTAAATACTGCCCAGGGGGTTTTCTGGGAGGCTGCATCTGGCCCACCACTGTAACAATGACTTCTAAGTCAGTGTCATCAGCTCTGACTTCACTGCTGAGCCAAACACCACTACTTCTTCGCGTCTATTAGATATCTCCGGGTGGCTGTCTCATGGGCTCTCCCATGAAATCTAGCCCCACTCCCCAGAGCCTGCCCTTCCCTCCTGGTGAACAGAGCCTCCACCCATCCACCTGGTCATCCCATTCAGAAGCCAAGGCATTTTCTCAGGGTGCCTCCTCTCCTCCCTCACTCTTGTCCAATGGGGCAGCCACTCCCCCAGGCCACACCTTGACCCTCTGTGGCCCATCCCCTGCAGAGCCCTTGTGCAGACCGTCGTTTCTTTCCTGGTTTGCTGCAGTGACATCCCGCCTGGACTCTCTTTTTTTCCCTTTTCCGAACAAGCCACCACCGTGACCAACTTATCTTTCTAGAAGATTAATCTGACCATATCATAACCCTGCTTAAAATCCTTTAATGACTTCCCACTCATTGTTTATAGGACAAAACCCAAGCCCCACAGAAAAGCACTCAAGGAAATCCCCCTGGGATCTAAGTTGGGCCCATTTTTCCATTCTTGTCTCTCCCAGTATCATATTACCGTATTTCCCCATGCATAAGAAGCTCCCATGTATAAGACGCACCTTAATTTTGGGGCCCGAAATTTGAAAACAATGTATTACATAAAGTTATTGAACTCAAGTTTTACTCATCATAAAATTCATACAACTCCTCATCACTGTCAAATGGAAGAGGACCAAACTAACGTTCAGCAGCACGATTTCCATTCACTTTTGCAAACTGGATCACTTTTAACTTGAATTCAGCACTGTATGAAAATCTTTTCTGAGCCATTTCTGGGCAGAACGTGGCAAAATATAACCTAATATACTGGTAACAAGCGTGAAACAATGAGAGCAAAGACAAGCGCAAAAAAAGCAGGAAATGCAAGTTAAAAAATCAGCAACCACTGTATATGATGCACTCAGTTTTTAGACCCCAAATTTTTAGAAAAAGGGTGCATCTTATTCATGGGGAAATACGGTACTTTGTTTTCCACCCAAACATACTGTAGTTTTTTTTCCCCCTCCCAGAAATTCCCTTTTCATCCTACTGTGAAAGCTCTCCTCATTTCTAAAGACGAAAAGCTCGGCTTTCTTCATCTTCGTGAAGCCGCTTCACTTTATAAAAATGAGTTATTTGCATCTTCTTCTGTTAGTTTATGAATGCTTCTTCCAGAGTCTTAGAATTCTCTGTTTGCAAGCAACAGAACTCAATTCAAACTAGTTTCATCCACGAAGGGGACACATAGACACTCCCTGGGAAGGACGAGTGGTGGTGGCCTCAATGGCGACCCCCATCCACAGACTTGCACATTGTCAGGACTTTCCATGTCCTCTATTTCTCTCTGCATGGGGGTGTCATTTTCTTCTACTACTAAATGGGTCTTCTCCATTAGAGAAGACCAGGAGTGGGAAAGCTGGTGTTTGCAGGCTTACATTCTTAAAGCCATGTAACCCAAGAGAAAAGAGATCTTTATCAGCATCAGTCCAGAAAAGACTGGCCAAGTCTGGGTCATGGGCCAACCTGTTAGACTAATGATAGTGACCAAAAAGATAAGGTACTGTGATCAGCTCATGTCTTGCACTATTGTTGGGTATTTTCCACAGGGAGGCAGTACAAACATGGCTTCTGAGAAAATCACTGAGGGGGGGCACCCCAACTACAAAACACTTCTCAAGTTACCAGACAATGATCTGTGATTACTTCTAGGACGGACACTGAAACTTACTCATGTAACTCATAACAGAGCCTGGCCGACAATAGGTACTTAACAAACGTTTGTTAAATGAATGCAATGAGCCATAACAGAAGATCAACAAAATCTGATCAAGAGACCAGGTGTGTAGCTTTTAAGTAGAAAGTTTAAATAGAAATGAAAAGTGCAATAAAACTTATGGAAAGCTCTTCCCTATTGTTAGCAAAATGCCTTATAGGAAAAATCATAAAAATATGTACTCCTCTGTCAAAGAAAATTAGGAAACATGCAAAGCTAGATGACTCAAAACGAGGGGAGAAGGGCAGTCCAAGTATTCCAGGTGCTCAAATTCAGAAACTGGGGCTATTGCCCATTAGGGTCTGATATCAGAAGAAAATGTTTTCGCTCCAGCATTTCCCCTAGAGATTCAACCTCACTAGTGAAGACGTCGCTGCTCTTTTGAGCCCAAAACTTTGATGTTTAAATTGAAATAGTCAGTAATCTTGGATGCTAAATTATTCTAGGCAAGTTCCAGAAATGAAGTGTGACTGATTCTGTCCATAGCTTCATAGCTGCTGCCTGAGCTCCAATCCCAGGTTATGGGGCCAGTCTCACAGACAATCCCCGCTCCAGTATCGTTACCTATAAAATGGGGACACACAGATAATGGTCACAGCATTGGAAGACAGCAAAGAAATAGGCTTTAGGAGAATTTTGTGACTTATGTATAAAAGTAATAGCTCACTAATCTGGAGAAAAGCTCTTTTGATTCTTTTGTACACAAATATTTACTAAGTGTCTAGTCCATGCCAGGCTCTGTGCTGAGTGCTAGGGTACAGGGATGAATGGGGACAACCTTGACCCCCAAGGAGTGACTCAGGGACTTGTTTGAGAGGCAGATAAGTGAAGGGGTGAATTATGAACCAATGTGGAATTCACAAGCACTGTGGACCCACGCAGGACTGCCAGCAAAGTTGGGCTGCATGAAGGACAGGGTGTGCTCGACCTGAAAAGTTGAAGACATCTATTATTATCTGTGACGCTGTGGTTTCTCAGATGTCTCCCTCGCTGACATATTGGCTGGGCCCCCTCTTCTGTGCCAACCACTGGGTCAGGACAGGAAGGAGATGTTGAGATGAACAAGAAGCTATCCTTGCCTTCTGCTTAGTTAGAAAAAAAGATCAACATGTAATCAAATCACTGTAACAATGGGGTAAGTGATACAATACAATTGGAAGAGGAAATTCCATCTTTTTGCAGGGAGGGGGAGTTTTTCCAATGACTGTGGCTCACAAGGCAATGTGACAGCTGACTGCAAACCCTCTAGGCCATCTTGATTCACGGAGTATTGCTCACAGTCAACAACCTAGTTTATTATTGCACACAACCAAACCCCCAGCCAATCCTTGCTCATAAAATACTGGTTTGCTTTCATAATTAATTAATATTTTAATTAAGCCTCATGTCCTCCCGATGCTAACATTTTCCTACCTGTAAGGCAGTTAAAGCTATTTATTTCCAAAAAACTTTTGTTTCCTTTGGCATGAGAAAAGAAATGTGAATACAGTGCATTTACTTTTTAAAAATCCTAACCTGCTTATGTTGTCCAGTGATTAAGGCAACAATGAGATTGATAGTATTGAGGGTGGGGAGAGAGGGACTCAATAAATGATTGTGACATTTGTTACTTTTAGAAGTCTGCCTTTCAATATGTGTGTGTGCATGCACATGTGTGCGGGTATAAATATTAATATTTTCATAACTTGTAACCCAAGTAAAAATGCATTGCACATAAGATTTGAAAAACGGAGTTCCACAGATTAATAAAGAAACCAAACATTCTTTATGTGTGTGGTATATATTGAAACCTTAGGAACTCTCCTAATTATAATATAAAACAATTGTTCAAAAAGCATTTGGCTTTTGGTTTTCAACCTTTTTTTTTTTTTTTAATTTGAATAACATTCAGAGATACTGGTCCCCTGACAGATGCTTTGAAATTAAAGTGGGGATTGCTGTTTTTCCCAGTGAGGACAGCAAAAGGAGGTTCAGGGACTCTGACGTCCCCAGCCCCCTGGCCAGGGAAGGCCGCTGGGCTCCCGTCCCAGCGGTCATTGTCATAACTGTCTACCTCATCATCACTGGCACCAGCTGTCATCTCCAGGCCACCCTCCCTCCTGGAAGAAGCTGAGGTTTCCCAGAGCTTAGGCTGGGAAAACTTTTGGTCATCTCCCTAAGCAAGGTCTCAAGTAAATAAGGAGCCAGACCATACGCCTTGGAAATCTAGGAGAACAGAACTGGGGAGGCTTGCTTGCCTTTTCTCTTTTTCACATCTGCAAAACCATTCCAAAAAATCATAATAAAACATAATGTGGTTCCCCTTTTCTTTGGAAATATTGTCTTAGAATGATGAACACATACTTTAAAAACAAAAGGCAGTTGCCTATTCAAATCACGTGGGGTTGGGGGGGTGACTGTCTTTGGGAAGGTAGAGAAAGGTCTGTGGTGACAATTATGTCACAAACTCGCGTAATGGAGAAAGTCCACGTTGCCACACAGTGGGATGGTTTTTATTATTTTCACTAAAACAGGCTAACAGAGTTTTAAAAATATTCTTTTCCTTTGGGTGTTGCTGCTTAGCGCTAGCTTTGTATGGAAGAGTCTATTGTTCCCTCTTTCACAGTAAGAACAGAACCTTCTGGAAAGGAGGCCATTGAGAAATTTTAAAAGATTTCTGTCCTTGTATTTAGGAAATTAGGCTCATTTTATAGTCTACAGATCAGGGTCAGTCATTTCTCACAGGTTTTAAAGAATAGCTTCCCATTTTGAATTTCCTTACCTTTTTAAGTTTTATTATAGAAAAGGTAATACACATTTGGGAGAGTTTTATCCACTTTTAAATTTTTTAAATGTGCTTGGTACCTGTCAGTTATACCATGTCTACTTCTAGGAAGGAGCTGAGAAAGCTAACAATAAAGCCCCATTATAAGAATACAAAACTGGGAGTAAATTGAAGGCAAGAGGGAGAAAGATAGTTATAACCAGAATGTAAAATAATGGCCTTCTTTGAGCAAAAAGCTTGGCATCCAGCTTTCTTGAGAAAAAGGAAACATAATAGACCTTGGGGAAATGTAAATGATTTTTTTTTTTTTTGCTACATTCTCAAATTGGCTATGGCAGTAAGAAACATCATTTCTTCCACTTAGCAAACTGGATATAATTGATTATATGTCAGGATTTTCACATCTTTCATGCATGTTGATGGATTTGAGTGATGAATATTAGTTAAAATTAATCTGTTTTGAACCAATAAATAAGGAGCGAAGCCATGGGGACCGTTTCTTTGCATGAAGGCCTAGGCATCCGTCTCACCATGAAACACAGCGGTCAGAGTCAAGGAAACGCGGGGATTCACCATGAGGTTCTTGTATTGTATTAAATGACCAGTCTTTGACCTCAAACCCTTACCGGACATTAACATTTAAATCTTCTTCCTAGTGCTACCAGTGGTTGAAGGAAAGAATTGTGAGTGAAGAAGGAAGAAAACAGCAAAACAAGTTAAAAGACCTCTCCCCAATTGCTGAGCGTCTGGGCTGCACACTCCCCCAGCTAGCTGTGGGTAAGCCAGTGACGAGGGAGGGGCCCTGCTGGAGCACAGAAAATAGTTTCCAAATGTGGATCCACATCTTTATCATGATAAAATATCTATTGTAGGGGCAGCATAAACTCCTGATGAATACTACCTAAAACGAGGTTTTCAGAGTTCCCCAGAATTTTCTACACTTCTCACCTCCTTCTCTTCCTTTATAACACAGTTTAAATGAGAACTCGTGAGTGAAAATGAACACATCCTCACAGTGTCTAGGGTGAGTGCCCTCTGAACTGTGCGGGGACGTCCATTTCTTCTGGCTCAGTTTTCCATCGCTGTCGAAGCTTAACCAGGGCAGGGTGAGAGGCTGAGAAGCAGATCTGTGACAGAGGCCCAAGGCCACTGCCATAAGGAAAGTCTGTCCTAGAGAAGCGGCTTCACCCAGAAACTTCCCAGGGGCCATGAAAATTGCTCCTCTAACACTGTGGAGTCAATGAAAGGTCATGGTCACTGGTAACAATTGAAAACCACAGGCACCAGCACCGTCCAACAGAAATATAATGTGAACCACATATTTAATTATAAACTTTTTAGCAGCCCTATTCAAAAAGTAAGAAGGAAATACATGAAACTAATTTTAATAAGGCATTTTATTTAACCCAATAGAGCCAAAATATTATCATTTTAACATGTAATAAATATTTTAAAAGTTAATGAGACCTTTTTACACTCTGTTTTTCATACTAAGTCTTCAAAATCTGAAATGTATTTTATAGCTACAGCACATCTCAATTCAGGCTGAACACATCTCGTGTTCAATGGCTACATGTGGCCAGTGGCTGGTTGTTGGACAGAAAAGCATGCAGACTTTAGTTCCCGTGCTGGTGGATATCTGCCAGACTCTGTGATAAGCACTTTATGCCATTGTCTTGTAGCCTTAATTGTCAAAACAATCCTGAGGTATATACCATTACTAGCCCTTTCTTACAGGTATTAATGGAGCATTTACTATTATTATTTCCACTTTATAAATGAAGAAACTAAAGATAAAAGAATTCATGTGGTAGCTATGGGAAAATAAAATGGATGTAGATTCTAGAAAAAAATCCTAAGGATGAAGAAATAGCAGGAATTGAGACAAATCAGATACAGTGACTTAATGAGAAAAAAAGGCTCAAGACAAGTTCTATGCAAATAATGTGATAGAATGTTTATTAAAATCTTGACCCTTCTGAGGTTGGAAGGCAAGGAAATGGTAGTGGCAGTTGACAGCCATAGAAAGATGCAAATGGGAGGTGGTTTGGGGGCGGGGAGGGGAATACCGCTTAACCTAAGTATATGTATGACTGTACCTTTAATCCTTAGTAAAAAAAAAAAAATCAAAGAATATACTTAATGTGATTAGTTAACATCCCTATACTTTTACTGAACACAGTAAAAAGTATTAGTTATTTGCCCATCAGCAAGTTTTTGAACCTGCTATCAATTTTCTCATCTGTAAAATGGGTATAATAATGCATATCTTACAAACTTGTTGAGTAAGTAGAGAGTAGGTGCTCTTGGTAGTAGTGGTATCGATGATGATGAGGCTGATGATGTTTTTGTAAAGAATTAGATACCCCGGACCTGAAGCTCTGTCTCCCCCCAGCCATGGCACATGGTCAGAGTAACACGCACAAACAGAAACACTTATTCTTGAAATATAGTCATAAATATGATTTTTAGGCAGTAATGTGAAACTGAAACCTCAGTTTAGCTCTGAAAGAGATAGAACATTGTCTTTCTAAACAGGAACTCTTTACAAGATTTAAACGTTCACTAGATGTTAGCTATACATGAAAAACCCTCTTTACAGAGTTCGAGTTTAAATTAAAACATGCCTTGTTTCTCCTTTTCCTCCCTCTGTGCCCCCAGTTATCTATCGTGCCTGTCATTTTTTTTTCTTTCTTTATAAACAGGTAGTTTTGTTTTTAACCACAGACCTCTCAAACCAAGAGGGAAATTATTTCCAGGCATGTTACCTTTGATCTGCTAGAAGGGTGTGGGGGAAGGAACCCCCCTTGCCCCCTTCTTTCCCCACCCCTTCCTATCCCCCACCCATGGCAGGGAAACCAACTATTTGAACCCAACCATGGGCAGTCTCCCATCTCACAGGTCCGTGCCTGCACAGGAGCCAGCATTCACACCTTGCTGGTACAGAGGAGAGGCACTCGTGTTGCCTGCTTGGTGACACTTGGTCGTATGCTAATTATCTAGAATTATCTGCATGTGTGCTAGCCAGTTCTGTGCAGTGGGCTCTCCCACGCCCTGCATCCCAGAGGGGGAAATCGGCTGTTGCTGATACCAACTATAGTTTATAGGCAATAATTTTCCCCATGCCCTGCTTTGCCCTCAGAAAACTTCCACTGGTGCCAAAAGAGTTCTAAGTACAAAGCAGGAAATAATGCACACACAAAAAAAAAAAAAAAGCAGCAGCAGCAGCTCTGGATCACTTGACTTGCTGCCTTTACAGAGCATTATTTTGCCCATGTGGAAAGACTTAGTGATTGCCTTACAAGACCTGAGCATGGTAACAGCTTAAGAATTTTAGTTGACAGCAGAGCCTTGAGCAAATGGGGCAGAAGAGGCGCTTGGATCCTCGTCTCCCCATCAATCATTCATGCCTGTGCTTATTCAACAAACATTTACTAAGCACCGTAAGTACCTATCATGTATAGGTACTGGGCTGGGTGCTGAGCATCTCACAGTCTGGTGGGCAAATCAAAAAAATAAACAGGCCATTTTAATACAGTGTTGTAGTAAAATAATTGGGAAGGACGCAGGGGTTGGGGTGTAGGAACTCCCAAACCAGCCTGGGATTCAGGGACGGCCGTCAGGGAAAGGTAGCTCCTGTGGGGAATCTCAAATGATGAGCGGATAGTGAGGCAAAGGAGGCAAAGGGACGTTCCAGACCAAGGCGACTGCTTGAGCCACTGGCTCAGGGAGGAGAAAAACAGCGTGATGTTTGCAGATGGAGAGTATTTACAAAGCGCTTCTGCAGCACAAAGTTCAAGGCAAGGAGTAGGAGACGTGAAGCTGCGGGATGGGCTAGAAAGCAAGGTTTGCCAGGGCGAGAAATGAGAGCGTCATCTTACAGGGCGATGATTACGTAAGGCACACGCTGAGGAACGTCGAGTCAGCAAGCGACATGAGCAGGTTTGTACCTGGAGAAACGGCAGCTGGATGTGTGAAAGCTGTGCGGGGGGCATAAGGGAGTGGGAGGGGCAACCCAAAGAAGAGGTAGGAAAAGGAGTTGTGTCGGAGAGAGGGTGGTGAGGGCCTGAAGGAGGGCGGCAGACAGCTGCACCAGAGCAGTGATTCTCAAGTGTGGGCCCCACGTGCACACAATGGAATATCCCTCAGCAGCAAAAAGGAATGATACACTGATGCATGCTGTAATATGGAGGAACCTCGCGAACGTGCTAAGTGAAAGGAGCCAGGCACAGAAGGCCCACACTGTGTGATTCTATTTAGATGAAATGTCCAGAAACAATAGGATACAAAACAGATTAGTGGTTTTCTGCAATTGGTCAAGGGAATGAGATTGACTGCAAATGGGCATGGACGAGCCTATTGGGATGATGGAAATGTTCTAAAGCTATTTAAAATGGTTTAAATACAGTTTTAGATGTTAATACACTTGATACATTTATCAAAAATTATTAAACTGTGCACTTAAAATGGGTAAAATTTTGGGTACGTTTTACCTCAGCAAAGTTAAAAAAAGGAAAGAAAACATGGTGCCCGGATCAGCAGCAGCAGCGTCACGGGGGCAGCTTGTCAGACATGCAGATTCTCAGCCCCACACGGAGCTTCTGAGTCCAAAAAGTCTGGGAGTGGCGCCCAACAATCGGTGTCTCATGAGCCCTAGGTGGTTCTGATACATGCTAGCCTTTGAGATCCACTGGATCAGAGAAATATTGAGGAGGGAGACTCAACTAGCTGTGGCAATTAAAGGTGAATGTGGGATCAGAAAAGGACAGTCCCTAAGTTTAAGTGCCAACTTCCCAGATTGGGAGGCCAAGCTGCTGGTGATGCCACCACATGAGATGGGGACCACGGAAGAGACAGGCTGTTGTAAGCAAGTGCACAGTGCCTGTGGGACGCCTAGCAGGGACATTCCACAGACACTGCAGCTGTGGGCCTATAGGGACATCCAGTTCCAGGCAGCTGCAAGCTGAGCAGTCTACTGCAACCACGGGGGGACCTCAGCTTCTGACATGGCAGCAAGGGGACTGGGAGGTGAGGGGGGGGGAGAGAGAATGAAAATGAATCAAGTCCAAGAAAAGACAAAAGGAGATGGATCCAGGACAGAGTTTGGCCTCAGACAGAAACAGCAGGAGGCGTCCTCTGAACCTGGGGCATGTGGACATGTACTTGTGTCCGTGGGACAGCGGGGGATGAAGGAAGATCCCACAAGATGGACGTAATTTTTTACATAAAGCCGGAGGCCAGGTCATGTGCTGAGAGCGAGGGGCAGGGGCTGATAGAGGATTTAAGGGTAGAGGTTGCCAGAGAGGCCGAGGAAAGAGAGGAGTGGGGTTTGAGGGCTAGTGAGAGTGAGATAATCGACACAGGATGAATCTTGTTAGGAAGAAAGGGAGGTCCGAGGAGGGCTGCCAGGTAGAAACAAAGGAACCAGACACTTGGAGTCTATGTAACAGGTAGGGGAGGAGAGGGGGGTGAGAGCATGACTAAGATGGAAAGACAGGAGACTGGGCCAACCTGGAAACAGGAATCCAGACGTCTGCAGGTGAGCAGTGCCAGGTGTTTTCAGGTACAAGAACGTGTTCCTGGAGTGGGTAGCTGAATGGGATGCTCACTTGTTAGAACAAGGCCTCATGTAGAAAGCATTGGAGCCCTAAGGCCACAATTCAAATGCAGTTACCAAATCCTCTCCACAACAGGGGTGCTGCTGAGGTTTTCAAGCCCGGAGCACAAGGTCCATCCTCCCCCAAAACATTAGTCAAGTTTGGTTGCAACAATGGTAGCTACGGGTGGTGTTTAGAAGCGAAATCAGTCATCAGAAGCGCTCTGCTATGCTGACCCGGTGTTCTGTCTCCCCAGCATGGTGCCTGAGAAACGAGGGTGTGAGTTCTGTGCTCCTGGGTTCGTCCACTCCTGAACAACTCATTGAGAACCTTGGTGCCATTCAGGCAAGTACCACAGCCCTTCCCAACAAACCGCAGGGAATTTCATGGTGTCTTTAGGATGTCCTCAGCCAGTGTCCCGTCTCTCCCCACCTCTGTTCTTAGATGGGGGGGGGGAGGGGGCAGGGAAGTGGGGACAAAGGCAGAAGAGGCAACAGAATGGTTACATGGATCCAGGAGTGTCCTCTTCTTATTAACAGGCAATGATCTGAAAACTTGTTTCCCAGGATGCTTTGTTTCTGTGGGATGGCATTCCATGCCCCAAGCAATGTTATATCTGGTGACGGGGTTCTCAGGCCTGATCATAAAAGCGTGCTTAATAACCTGCTTGAAATGTAACAGCCATAGGACAATATACGTGCATCATTTATTCATGTTCTTCCCACAAATACTGTCAACCTGTAGTGTGCCAAGCCCCTCCTTTCTGCTCTCACAGCACTTGTGATAATGCAGCATAATTGCCTGCTGGACTGTAAGCTCCCTGAGGTCAGGACCTGTGTTTTTCTTGCTTCTCCACTGGTTTCCAGTTCCTAGCGTACTACATGGCCCTTCATCAACACTTAAGAAACACTTGTGGAATGAAGGAATGTTTGCCCCATTTTAAACGAAATAGAATCAAAATTCTGTTTTGGACTTCCAGGGTCACATCTCCCTGGCAGCGAATTCCGGGGTGCCCATCCCCACTCCCTCCCACGAGTGGACCTCCTGAGGCCCAAGGCACTAGATGGAGCCTGTACTCTGGGGAGTCCCCGGGGCCGGAGGAGGGGATGTGGGAGAGATGTTCTCCGTTCTGTCTGGGGGGGCGGGGCTTAGTGGCTGCTGTGACCATCCTCCTCCCCCAAAGGCCGCATCTCAGTCCTGAGCCCGCCCCTCTCAGCCCTGCTGAGGGCCCCAGGCAGGAGCTCTTGCCGAAGCCACTACCTACCACACAGGTGTCTTCTTCCTCTTGCTCACTGGGGAACAGAGCTGTCTCATGGCTCCTCCCGTCACCTGTGCCTGAAACGAGCACTGACCTCTCCCTGTTAACTCCCCCCAAAAGAAACAGATGGAGGGGGATACGCTTGATTTCACTTCAGATGTTTAAAAACCCTTCTGAATAGCCCGGAATATGCTGGGGGACAAATGGTGCAGACTTCCTTCCCCTCACCTTCCTTAGGGCTGTGCAGTAGTGTCATCAGCTCTGCCTCTGCTTCCAAGAACTCCTCCTGGATTTTGTAGGGCTTCCCCAGCCCTTCATAGGAATGCTGCTCTTATGAAAGCCCCACACACACACCTTTTCTTTTTTTCACTTACACTCTGGGAAAAGATAAAGGCTACACAGTGATGGTGAGGAAACCGGAGCCATGTACCCAAAACTGGAATTCCACCAGATGTCAATTCCACTAAGCTTTATTGAGCATTTATTCTTATTGAGCACCACACCAGGCTGAGAGTAAGCCCAGGACCCTGCACTCAAGAGCTCCCAAGCTCGCTGACAGTAAATTAAGCAACCTATCACTTAGTTCATTCGGCAGAGCTTTGAGGACCTACTGACTGGGCACTGGGGACACCACGGGAAACAAGAAAGATATTGTCCAATGTTCAAGGAGCTTACATTCCAATGGGAGAGGCACGTAATAAACATATTAAAAGAATTTCAAAGTGTGAGAAGGGCTATTAAGAGGGTGTTGCAATAGTCTACTTGAAAAATGGGTGGGTCTGCTTTAAATAGTGCCCTGGCCCAGGCCCCTCTGGGATGTGTGCATTCTGAGGCCTGGGAGATGAACACCCAGCATGTGAAAACCCAGGAAGCACATTTCAGACCCAGGCAAGGGTGGTGCAAAGGCCCTGAGGTAGAAAGGAGCTTGGCTTTCTCCAGGAACCAGCCCTGGGCAAGTGTGGCCAACATGCAGTAAGCAAAAGGGATGGCAGATACACTGGAGAGGCAGGCAGGGGACAGATCTTACAGTACCCTAGATGGGTCAGAGTTTTGTTCTACATGGAATAAGTTCTTCAGAGGGTTTTAAGAGGAAGAACATGCTGTTCTCTCGATGTTTAAAGATTGCTCTTGGCTGCTGGAAAGTAGAATGAAGAAAGGCAAGGGCAGTTGTCCAGGTGACAGTGGCTTGGACCAGTGGGATGATGGCCATGGAGGTGAAGTGGATGGTTCTGTAGATTTTGGCAATGGAGACAGGACGTGCTGATGGCTTGGCAAGCGAAGGAGGAAATGAGGACTCCCGTCATGCTAACACAGAGCAAGCACTGCTACCCCAGGGGGTCAACATGCCTGGATGGTAAAGAGGTCGCTCCTGGGCTGTAGTACACCAGGTAGCTGAGGGTATATTTCAGAGGAAAACTGTGTCAGTCATCTTCCCAAAGCATCTCCTTCCCAGCACCTCAGGCTGGTAGCAAGATGGGGCTTCCATGCTCCAAGGGTAAGAGACCAGGGATGTTATCCAAGCGGGGAGGTTTCCACCAGGGGCACTTACCATCCACGTGCCCTTCCTACTACCACCTCCCACCCTCCCAGCACCTAAGAATCCACCCTAGGCAAGCTGTGACTGGGCCCTTCGATGGGCGGAAAAAGGTTGGTGGCTGGGGGTTTCCAGCAGTGGTGGGACTGCGTACAGGATAGAAAGCTGCAGTGCCAGCAGTTGTAAGGAAAGGGACTTTCTAGTGGGCATGGCCAGGGATAAAATGTGCCTAACGTGCATAAACTGGGGGGCATATATGAATCAGAACCTCAGTTGGGAAAGACTGGAGGAGAAACTCCAGCTACGAGCAGCCCGCCATCATCTGCACAGCCCGCCATCCTCCCCACCTCAACAATGCAGAGAACTGCCTCTCCTCTCCACCGCTTCTGAGGCCGTCAGCCACTCAGAGCAGCCCAGGCTCCTCAGCACTCAGGCCCCTCACATCCAGAGCTCATCTCCCCTAGAATCCTAACCTCCAGCCACCAGGAACCACTCAGCTCACCACAAGTAACAGTGGTCCTCGGCCTGCAAAGTGTCTAGCTCCCCAGCCTGCCAAAATCCTGCTCCATCCCCAAGGTCCAACTCAAGTGACTCAATCCTGGGAGGACTTCCCGAATATCCCACCAGCCCCAGCAGCACGAGCCAGACACCCCTCACCCACCAATTATTCCAGTCGGTGTAACACCAAGCTTGCAAATCTGGTAGCCCGGAGGGTGTTTGTGTAATGCGCAGATGAAACTGTTTTAAAACAGTTGTCAACATTTTTAAAAATCGGGCAATTTCACATGAAATTGTGGATGTATGGCTTCTCTTTACAATTCAGGCCTTGCAACACTATTTTTTTTTTCATGTTTTATTCAAGTCCTTTTATGGTTTCATGTTATTGTTTTTAATGTTTAAATCTCTATCTGAAATTTATTTTGGTGTAATGAATGAAAATTTTTTTTTCTCACATGGCTAACCCACTATATTTTAGACACGAAACTTCCAACAAATCCAGTTTCTACACTTGGGTCTCATCGTTGCAGTCTCTCTTTAAATAATGCATTGTTTTAAATCCTCTGTGCCTCCAGAACTGGTGGGAAATCAAACTCTTTCTTTAGTTTTAGACAGGAGAACATTAAGCAGAACCAGTCCCCAGGCTGAGGAGCCCTACTGTTCTGTCCAACCCTGAGGTTTCTGGGGATAGCACCTGGGCAGAGACAAGGTCACCGTGGCTGTGACTGCAGCAGAGGCAGGGTGAGGCTGAAACCTCAGAGCTGGTCGTCGTAATTGTATTTCACCACAGTCTCCACACAGGGTCAGACTATTCCTGCAAAATGTCTGCCTTTGTTCCTTGTCAGATGGTGTAATGCGTGCCCTTGGCCCTCTTCTCACAATAACCACTAGCCAGCCCCGATGATCTCATCCTTTCCCAGGGCTTCGATTAGCATATCCGTGACAATAACTTGCACATCCTCAACTCATCCTCCTGTGGCTAGCAAGCGCCACAGCTGCACTTCCGGCTGCCTACACGTCATTTCCACAGAGATAGCCCACAGGCACCTTGAACTCCAAACTACTGTGGATCCCAATGTCCATCATCTACGTCAGTACCTTTCCAGACACACAGGCTTGAAATCCCTATCATCCTGCAGAACGTCTCAGACCCACTCCTTTCCACTCCACTGCACCTGTCAGTTAAGGCTCTGAGTGTCTGGCAAGGGCAGCCATAAATTTCTAACATCCGTGTCCCCTCTCAGCCTACTCAGCCAACTCATCCTTCAAGCTACCACCAGGTGTCTGATGGGTTCACTCCCAGCTGAGAAATCCTAAGAGGTGCCCCCACTGTCTACAGAATAAAGTCCCAACTCCAAAAAAAAATGGCATTCAATGCCTCCCACTTTCCCCGAACTTCTTTCCCCTATTCCTACCTCACTTCACTTGTATCACTCCATTTTCAGACTTCTGCCTTTTTCATGCTATTCATCTACCTGAGATGCCTGTTAACCTCGGCCATCCTTCCCCAGAGTTCTGACCACCAGTGGTAGACTCATTATAATGTCTCTGGGCCTGTCCTGTCCACTACCGTAGCTCCAGACACAGGTGGCTATCGAGCGCATGCGAGGTAGCTTGTCCAGATGCAGATGTGCTAAGTGCAAAACGTACACTGGATTTGAAAGACTTAGTACTTTAACAAAATGTAGCATCTTAAGAATTTTCTACTGACTACACGTTGAAATGTTTTGGATATAATGGAGTAAAAACATTCATTTCACCTGTTTCTTTTCACTTTCATTCACGTGGCCACTAGAAAACCTAAAATTGTATTATGTGGCTCGCATTTTATGTCTAACTGGGCAGAGCTGCTCTGGATATTCTGTATTTCTACAAGCCTTCACCTGTTCAGCCAACCAGTAACTATGAGCACCAGCTGGAGGCCATGCACTCTTACAGGCACTGGATACAGGGGTGAACTAACAACGAGGTCCCTGACCTCCAGGTACTCAGTCTGATGAGAAGCTTTTCGTCCAGCTGTGATTTATAAATGTGTACCCATCTAATCGACTTTGAGCAGAGAACAAATATCAAGTCCTAACCACATCCTTTGTACTTCTCCCACTCTCAGGTTCTCCCAAAGATGACATCACACGTGGTAAATGAGATTGATAACATATTGCGCAACAAGCCCTACAGCAAAAAGGACTACAGGTCGTAAGGCAATGCATGAGCCACAGGAGCTGCATGGTTAAAAATCGGTCTATACCGGTGCAGAACGGTGTTACTAGCCAGTCTTTTACATCACTTAGCAGCCCGCTGCTCAACCTCTAGTGTCCCCGGATTCTGAGGTGCCTGCTGTTGCTACCACTGTGCACCTGAATTATGAGCACATCTGAAAACTCACAACTAAGAAAATCCATTCTATTTTCTTATCTTGGACTGGAGTCACCTACTCTTGCATTGCTCTGTACACCTCATGCTAATGCAATGGAAAGTATATAGGGGGGAAAGACATATTACCTTCAGGCATTCAGTAACTTAAAGAAGGCTACAGATATATTTTTTCAAATGAACAAACTCCACAGATGCAACATGGATTGCATCAGAAAGAGTAACTACGTGCACACAGAAGTCTTGCTTGGGAGAATAAACAGAAACAATTTTACACTTTTTTTCTATTTTCACATTCCTGTTAGCAAGAGTTGTTTCACTTGTCATTCAACAAATCTAAAATTCCTCGGTATTTGCTTTCATAACCTTTTAAAATATTCACTGTTGTTTGACCCCAAGAATGACCCTAAATAGCAATTTATCCAAGATGTCTATTAGGATTCCAATAATGCTGTCCGTTTACATGTAGAGGTGGTAAAAGGATGAACACCCAGTCTTTAACTAGAGACACTGGTTAATTTATGAAAAGGGAAGATTGTACTGCTATGGAAGCTTAGCTTGGATAAAGTGTACTGCATCTGCAATGAAGTGTTCGTTCTTGAGTACACGTTATGAAAACCTGCTTTATACTTCGACTGCTTGTAGGCACAGCTTCTGCGCGTTTAAATATTTGAGCTTTAAAAATATACACATGCTCAGTTCTTATAAGTAAACCTGTAAAATACCCAGAAAGGCAAAGGTCTGCTGTTTAATTAGCACTGGGATTTTACAATATAATGCTTGGGGTTTTGAGGAGGGCGTTATTACATGAGAGTAAATCATGGGCTTCATGAAAAATGTCACTACTCGGCATATGCTGGGTGAATTAACTTGCCCAATGAAAAGCAAATGTTAAAGAACTTCCTGAGTCTATAATCACATTATGTGCATTAAACTATATGCATGAAAGCTCACTGCATGGATTAAAGGGGCCTAGCTTTAGTGCACTCAGAAGCTGAGACCTATCTGACCCCGCCACACTATTGGCTACTTACCCTCATGAATATTCCACTTGAGAAAAACTGTGAGAATAGACTGTGTGTACCTGTAAGGGAGAAAAACATGTTTTTTTCTTTTGGGGGGTGTGTACTGGGGGCATGGGTCCTATAACTATTTGGACACCTGAGCATGTACAAAATTCTAATTTAATTTTCTGAACAGCAGGTCCCTCATATAGAAATCACTTTGAGACTTACAGAAGAAATATACTATCAGCTTTAAATGCTATTTCCTGCCATCATTTCCAGATACTGTATTTCATGGTTAAGTTCTAAATCTTAAAATGTTGGTGTGAAATACCAACACATTTTCTTTTTGATTACTACTCCTTGCATTCAATTAGGGAAATAATTTGGGTTTTTTACCCCCAAGTATCAGGTTGATGATGAAAATGGATCATTTTTCAGTTGTTCATTGTATATTCAATCGATCCAGTGATTTATTGTATGTATTAATAAGCTTAAGTTGTCTAATGGAACTGCAATTTAACTTACTAATTTGCTTAGAGTAATAAAAGCATTTTGTGCATTTAATCTCACAATTAGTTTTTACCTGATCTTTCATTATAAGGCAAAAAATGTACATATATATATATATATATATATATATATATATATATATATATCGATCTCTACAAAACAGGCAGCTAAATGCTCATTTTAATAAAAATTATGTTGGCAGGTAAGCTGCACTGAGTGATATTTAACAGAAATAGCAGTGATCAAAATTTAAACTGCAATCCAAACTTTTTTTCTTATTAATGGAGTAAATGATTAGCTACTAAAGATATCACTTATCGTTGGGTTTTAGAAATACTCTGCACTAAAGTTACAGCTCCTCAAACTCATTTAAAAGAGCCTGCAAATTACAACCAAATATAAACAGTATTGCGGAGCTGTAGGAACAGCTAGTTTTTTAACATACAAATCATCTGCCATGTAAAATATACTAGATAGAAATACATTTCACAGTTATATCCTTAAGAAAAATTTCCATGCACTCATTTGATTTTCTGGAAAGTATTCTTTGGGAGGACATATCACTCCTGAGAGTAACCTGGGTGGCAGCCATCCACATGCTGAAATCTGGGCCAGGGGAATAAGAACCAGAAACCCTGTGCCTGGCCTCCCACTTGCAGAGCTGTCCCTCCATCTCCACTAACACTGTGCCACGGGTCACCAGATAGAAAGCAGAGCTTCAAGGGACCTTTATCTATCTTTAAGGCTAAGGTCCTTAAAGATAGGACCTCCTTGGCCAAGGAGGAAACCAGGCCTGGATAAAGAACTGGCTCAGGCACACACTGCTAGTAGACGGCAGAACCAGGCCTAGAACCCAAGTATTTTATTCAGGGCTCTTGTAAATACAATTTTTCTTTTTAGTTTTAAAGTTTTATGTATTATAAAAGTTAACTGTGTGTGTGAATTTTTAAGTTAAAAAAAGCTTGGGTATGAATCCACATTCAGAATTAGCTAAAAGGGAAAGGTCCAAGAGACACCATCAAAACTTATGACGGCCAATGAGAAATTAAGTCTCTAAACAACTCCATGAAAATCTAAACCAACCACTTAAAAACCCCTCCTAATCGTCAATTAATTCCCCAGGTGGGAGGTGAGCCCTTCAACCCAAACACATGTATCCGCAGATTCTCTATACATGCACATGCCTATGTACAGAGGGTGCCAAGAAAAATGTTTTAAGAAAGGAAAAAACTATCAATTATAATACTAAATATTACCAATAACAAAAGATGCATACAAGTCACGTTTCACTTCTACAATTACAAGAGGTGCTCAACGTGGTTACCAACAGTGTCCAGACACTTCTGATTACGGCGAACTACTGCTTGAGCTTGTTGACCGAAGTGTCCACTTGTAGACATTTTTTGGCACCCCTGGTATATCCTTCCTTCGTGTCTCCAGAAACAGCAGCAACTGGCACGCATACTGAAAACACACAGGGAGGGGGTGCCAGCACGGCAGGCATATACTGGCAGAGACCTAACATTCTGGTCTGTAATATAACTGCCCTGTGCCAGTCATTGCCATACAAACCTGGATCCGTAACTACAAAAATGCATTTACATGTGTGGGAAATTGAAACGATAGATAATATAAAATAACGTAATAAAGATATACTTATTCACATGATTCTTATAAAGAAGTCTAGGGAAAATATAAATTTTAAAAAGCAAAGTTTAATGATACTTAATAAACAAGACCTTTCACAAGAATTTTAGATATGAATCCAACCTCTATATTTCAGTTAACTTCAAAACTTATTTCAAATTATTCTTTCCAAGTTAGAATATACCAAATAGGACAACCAGTAAATTTTTACTGGCTAAGAATAATTTCAATCCAAGATTTTTATTAAGTTGTAAAAAAGGAAACTAAAAATGGGGAAATATAAAATGTTCCAGTACTTTATGTCCCTACTTATCACAAGGAGTGTAAAAAAAGGAATTTAATCACTTTGAATCCTGATTACAGCAGAACCCTTTATTTTACTGCTGTTGGATAGGGGGTCTTTTGAGATAAAAATTCTACAGCCAGTTCTTACTAACTAAACCATAAATCATAATTCTATGTCCTACAGAGCCATTTTAGATGATGGGGAGAGAAGTGGGGAAAAGGTTCTGTAATTCCCAAGAGTAAAGTATTGGTTTCCTGAACGAAAACTGTGGAGCTGTGAGTACATGTCTTATAAACTTATGCACACAAATTTATCTAACAGTATCTAGGAAGTTAGAAACTATTAGGATTAACAAAAAGAGTGCTAGAGAAAAAAAAAATCAGAACCAAAATCAAATTTTGTTACTTGCTTTTCTCCAAATTATTCACTTTATTAAGAGAAAGTTCTGAGGAATATTAAGCTCAGGACCCCATTTCAACCACACTGTATTATATACTAAGAATGGTGGCAATTTCCCCCATCTACACAGGCACTGCCATCTAGTGGCAATTTTTAACCTGCACTTTAAAAAAATACGTACTTGGCCCAGCTGTCTTAACAAATAGATTGTTGATGGTTTGTCAAATAGTCATTTTGTCAAGCAAATGCATTTGGTATATAAACTTCAGGCCACTAGTCAAACTACTGACTATTTATCAACAGGAAACAAAAAGGTTAAAACATAAAAATAAAAATAAACCTATGTGTTACACTAACTACTTTGCAGTGAATCTCTTCTGACTTCCCATTAGCTCCATATTATCCAGTGATGGCACGTGCATGATAACGCACCAAAGAAAAGTAAAGAATTTCAACCTTCTAGAAGCAACGATGAAATATAATCTTCAACTGAAGACGATGACATCTGGGTTATTATGCAAATGTCTTCTTTCCAAGTTCTTGGAATGTGGCCCACCAAAACTTCCAACAGCGTGGAACCAAGAAATGAACTCCTCGAAAATACCTTTCTACAAAGTTATAAATAAAAGAAGAAGTATTTTTGCAACATTCATCTTAAATTAAGAAATGGAAACTAAACATTAAAGCTAAGAATAGGAACTAGAAATAATGGTATTTCCTTTGAGCTACTGCTTATAAGAAATTACTAGAGGGGTCAAAAGCTAATAGGAATATGAAACCATTTATCACCTGGGATTTCAGAACCTTTTAAAGGATACTGTTTCAAGAAGAGCTTCCCAAACTTTTTCAAATCATGGCACACACAGAAAATGATAGTATCTGTATACACACACTGGTTAAAAAATGCAAGCAACTGCTCTCAGCCCCAAGGGCTGAAGAGATCAATATTTTACTCATAATCGATAGGAACCTATGGACTAAAAGGGTCAAATTTATAAAAGTCCTAGTGGAAAAATGCCAAAAAGCACTAAAATCGCCATAATTCCTTGGAGTGTTCTTAGAATTCTGGAACTAAGATCATAAAAATAACTTTGGCTTTTACACTTCAATACTCAGGAAAGAGGTTCTCTCTCTCAGCGAACATTCCTCCAGTGGGCTGAGACCATACTCAAAGGAAACAATGACTCCAGCCTCTCAACAAGTCAACCAGCATGGGAGGGTCGAACTGACCTCCCTGACCACCCAAGGCCAAAGCTGTACAGCTGAACAGTGTGTGCTTTAACCCCACGGGACAACTCTCATATGCCTGGCCACTATTTTTAGGTTATTACCCTGGCTACCTTTCCTTCTTTTATTAAAAAACAGTACTTTTCCACAGTTGCTCTTCCCCAAGTTGGAGAAGCTATGTTTTTAACTTTGAGTTAAATCAGAGATTCAGGGGATTATAAACACGAAGTTCAATCCTCCCAGCCCCCACCCCTCTCCCGCCAGGGATTCATTCTGATATTTAAAGTTCAAAAAAAGTTGTAATACTGTGCTTGGAACACAGAGAACCAGTTATTAACTTCTTGCTATTATTATAAATAATAACAGGCAGTCCAGGTTACTGTGACCTCTGACAAAGCAAGGAAACAGGTTTTCTCCTCTTGTGATTATAGCACATTGCGAGACACTTTTTGCCTTTTAATAAATGTCCTAGTACTCTGAGTTTCCCTTTCAATTTATTTAATTTCAACAGTCTGTCAAAGAAGAGGCAATAAACAAATACTGAGGTGCATTTTGTTGGGTTTTTCAAGCCCTCAGACTCCAGACTAGGAAAACACCTTCTGCGTCCCCCACCCTGACCAGCCTGCTGCTTCTCCATGTGCCACAGGCACACAGCCGGGGGTGGCGCCAGCAGGGTCTACTTGGAGCCCGTGGACAGGAGGGCGATGAGCCCCGATGAAGCACTGATGGACAGAATGTAGTTCCTGTAGGAATTTGATGTTAAGGAAAAATCAGGAACCCAAAATTAGCTTTTCAACAAAACACAAAGAGCCCATCTCTTTGGGATTTTCTGTTGCCCTCCTGACACTCTATATGACAATTATGTGAGGTCCATTGTCTGCAAACACAATTTACAAAACAGAAGGAGGCTATGAAGAATAAAGAACATTCACACAGGATATGTGTACCAATTTTTTTTTTAAAAAGCCCTTGAGACAGAAACCCAGAACACAGGATCACAAAGAAAACATCTGACTGCCCTTTAACCTTTAGGAGAAGAGCTGATCAAAGAATATGGGGAGGAAGAGACTTGTCTTCCTTTTTCCCCCTCAAGAGCATAGGAAAAATAAGTCTCCCCTGCCCATCACTGTCTGGGCTACCGCTGGCCTGTAAGATAGGAGGCTCTGAATGTTAGCAGCTACTCAGCCTGAGGACTGGACTGTTTGGGGCAAACCACTCCAGTGTTTCCAGAAGATGCAAGTTGAAGAGTGTCTGATATGTTATTACATCAAAATCTCCAACTGTTAAAAAGTTGGCTGTACATCCCTGGCTAACACCTTGAATAAATGATCTTAATAAGAGAATACTGCTTCTCGCCCAAAAGCTTAATATAAGAGCAGCTTGAAACGCTGGTAGGGTATTATATTATGAAATGTGCCTGTTTAACTGCGCTGGCCACCCACCCAACCTCAAAGCCCAGGAACGCTAGCAGACACCTGGCTGATGCCAGAGCTATCAAAGAAGACAAGTTAGCTTTTGCTCCTTGGATCTTTTTTTTAAAATAGGCAGGTATGCCTAATCATATATGCGAGACTGCTTTGTAATACTTGTTATATATCATGAAGTTATAATTTATAAACTTTAAAGAACTTTAAATCAGACTAAACCCTTATTGTAAGTGTTGAGAAACTCGCCTAAGGTCACAGTGCTGTTTATCACAGTGACTCCCTGTACAAAACCAAAACAAACTACTGTTTCTAAACTTCTAAAAAAAAAACATAATCAGGATACACTGTGGGGTTGAAGTTCTTCAGTATGAAGAAGGACGCAACGATGACCAAGACGAGGAACAGGGTGTTGTTATAGAAGATGGAAAATGTGGTAGCTTCATAATCAGCAACTTCATTCTTCTTCCACAAGATTCTGTAGACAAGCCAAACAAGTCATTCAAGCTTATAAACATGTATTAAAAAATTTAAATACCACATGGCTCTACTTCATTGTAAGGTAAGTTTTTCCTTCAGTGTTCTGGGCCGAATGTGTTTTTAATGTGTAATTTTGTCAGCATGGTCCCCTTTTTTTCTGCTGAAAAAGGTATTTCCGTCCATTGATGCTGAAGAAAACAGTGGCTGGGTATGTTACCTTCTTTCCCAGGCAGTCGGGGCTTTGGAGGAAACGAGTAACTAATTGCAATGGACTTTGTTTCATCAGCAGCCAAAGCAGGCACCTTTCTCTAGGTCCTCGCCTAAAACAAACTCCAAGATCAGCGGCTGAGAGAGAGCCTTGGCCGCTGGTTGGCATGAGACTCTCTCCAGCCTACAGATTTCAGCCTGAAATATTAAATTTTAAGACAATCCCAAGGACAAAGCCTAACTATGGTCTCACAAAAGCAGATCTGTCTGCAACTATCTTCAGGCCTCTTTACTTCAGTCAAACACAGAATACAATAGGAAAAAATAGGAAAGTATCAAGTGCATCACACAGTAGGGTAATTAACTGTTTTGTGGAACATTTGCACATGTGTATGTATAAGTATACTTGGTCAAAAGGCAAAATATGTAGTCTTTTACTGTGGGTTATTATCAAAAAGGCTGAAAGCCACTGCGCCACTGATGCTTTGCACCCCCCAAAAAAGATACATGACTCTGGGACCAGATGATACCCTCCACCAATCCTACGCACAGCACTATGGCTAACGTAATTGGAAATTGCCACGTTTTATTCACCAAATGTTCAAATCCATAGGCAATCAGAGTGCCTGTAAAGGAGCTAAATAAAGAGTATTAGCACTTATCTCCATCACAACAAATTTGTGGCCTCTAACATACAGGCTGTATTTTTTTTTTATCCTGTGGATACCATTAACTTACTAAATCTTCAATTTACTATAAGTTTGGGAGAAGTGATGGATATTACAATATTATATTCAATGTACCCATCAACTATAAAATAGCTTTTGATTTCATAGAAGTTTAAATGTAAGTTCTAAAAATATATACGACTTGAAATGGAGGAAATACACTATACTATTCTAACACTGATCAAAGAAAACACCATCTCAGAAAATGCATAGTTCAAAATAGTTTAATGCTAGGAAACACTCGGAACAATTGCCTGTTTTTAAGACTGTGGCACAGGACCCAGTGGAGACAGGCTCTTTAAATAGGTTACTAGCATGCCTTTACTGTGAATGATTAAATTATCCCACCTCCAACACAGCACTTCTCCCTAACTCCCTGTCATGCCCTGACTCAGAAACATCTTCAGAACAGTTTCAAAGAAAGAATTACCGGTAGCTCAATCATTTAGGTTACCCCAGCTCCCAAGATGACCATGTGTACACAGTCAGGACTAACACCTTTCATAAGTTTTTCTAATCCACCCATATTGTGGTTCATGAAAAAAATTCAAGACCCCCAAGTGGCCTCATCAGCAATGGTTCTGCCAAAGCTTTACTGGTAGGAAGTCTAGTTTGGGAGAGCACTTCCCAGAGTCATTTTTCCAAGGAGCACTTCCTACAACCAAAGAAAAGTTGAGTCCAAACTCAACAACTGTTACAATCAGAAAATGTTACATAATAGATCGTTGATAAGTCAAGAAGAAATAACACTCACACCCCAGGACAAACGTTAATGAATCTCAGATTTTCCTCTGCTAAATCCCATCCTTGGATGGATGGCAAAGCAGTTTCACAGTGGCATGGGGGACATATTCAAAGTGTGTGCACATGGAGCTTTGAAAGATACGCTTCTAGGCAAAAAAGTGCTGATAAGCCTTCTCCTAAATCATATCTCTTGGAAGCAACTTATCTTTTGAAGGAGAAAAATATTAGCTCTTAATGGGAGTCTTGGTCCCAGTTCTGAGTCAATCATGAGTACAGACGTGGGTACAACTGAACCCAGCGTGGCTTTGTGAAGAAATACTAACAGCACAAATTTCTACTGATGACAAGAACAGAAATTTTATAATCTTCTGACACTCTGCATTTTATGTATCAAAACCTCCACTTCATCCTACTTTGAAGTATCTGGTCCAGCCAATTGCAAAGGGGTTTCATTTCCCATTCTAATAGTAGTAACTACCTGAATACCACACAGGAAGGATGCTGGGACACATCCCAGGATTAAGAACAAGTGCCAGACCAAATCAGAGAAGTCTGCAGTGCGATGAGACCCACTTACCATCTCTAATATAATTAATCACCCAAAACCTACAAGAGCTACAACAAGCATTTTGAAACTGGGTAACTATGATTTGCACTGCAATTTAAGGACCACTATTCTAATAAGTATTATAATTCAATAAAAAGATTTTAAAAAAGTGTTCCAGATTCTCTAACCTCTATTCCTATGCAAAGATTTGCAATCAAAAAGCTATGCAGCCAGGTCTCATTGAAGCAGCTCCCTGAATAAAGGCCTTCATTGTCACAATTCTAACATTGTGCCCTCAGTTTTATAAAGGATCCACAGGAGACAACCATTTCAATAATGTTTCGGTGCCTTTCCAAAACCACTGTTAAAGACATTGTTCATTAAGTTACTCAGTGTCCCTTAAATAAGGAACCACTTGGTAAAGTCCTTCCAAGTTCAGTGCCAGGAAAGTTTCTTTTTGGAAGGATCTGCAAGCCGCTTCTCATTGGACAACGAAAGTGGTATGACCTCAGATGCTTCCCCTGACACTTGGAAGCTCAGAGCTAAGTTTAGTGCTCAACTGCTGTAACTTACTCTGCGGTGCTTGTTCAGCCACCTTTTCTTACTTTTAAGTGGTTTGTGGTCTTTTAAAATTGTATTGCTTTGTTTTATATGCAGTTTAATATTGCAAGTCCCCACAAAGTCTTCTGGAGCAAAGTGGGATAAAAATCCCATCTCACAAGCCACTTTGTAGATACTGAAACTTAAGATCCATGAAAACAACCTCGACTCATGACTCTATTAAACCACCTGGCAGCTCTCAGGCACAAGTTTACTCAATCATTCAGAGTCTTCTGCTACTCAGGTGTTACGCTGTTTACTAAGCCTTCTAAGAGCAGTTAACAGGAAAAATTGGGAGTGGGGACCAGGGCTAACCAATGTGACACAGGAGTGGGCAACAGGAAACAGAGTTTTCTTTTTCCCAAAGCAGATAACCCAGGCTGGATGTCCACAGGGAAGCCCAGGAACAAAAATACCACCACCTAAAAATGATAACACACAACACAATGTAAACTCTTCTGACCCAGAGGGGTTAGATGATATGCACCGGACACAGTTCTACAGCAGAGCAGTTGAGTACAAGCTCTCACGCCAGACTGCCTACGTTCTTCTCGTGGCTTCACCACACACTAATCTACAGGTCTGGGCAAGTCACCCAGGCTTTCTATACCTTCGTTTCCTGAGGTGTAAAATGGAGATAACAATAGTGCCTACCTCATAGGGCTCTTTAGAGGAATAAATGAGCTGTGTACAGCACAAAGAAAAATATCTGGTAGTAATAAAAACTCACAAAGTCAGTTATTATTCCCATGACTACATATTCTACAATACTAACATTTGCCTCAACTTCAATATCTATTCATTCTCTAAGCAGAAATCAAAAAATTAAAAGTATCCCCTTTTGTGATTACCATGAACACTTTAAATAAGGAGTCAAACCTTTCATCTTTTTCCTTCCGGGACATCTTTCTATTATCAGCTTCAGAAAGTTTTCGAGTCACTTCTTTGGAAACAGCATCTTCCCTCTTCTGTGCTACTCTGGAAGGAAAAGAAAAGAAGTTTCCACATACTCCAGGAGTGAACACCACACGCTCTCAGAAACACTCTGTACTCATATTTTGTATTGGCAACTGTATGATACTTTATATTTCAAGAAAAAATACTGGACAGAAAGTTCCAAGTTTATTATACTGTATTCGTCAAGAGAACGAGTTCAAGAAACTTCTAAGATGTGGTATATTAGTTAAGTGTTTTGATTTCTGCTTAAAAGGGAGAATTTTCCAAAGTTTAGATATGTAATATGGAAACAAAATTCAAATGCTATTAACACAATTTAGTTATAAATTATTATAAATCCATTTTATTTTGGCCTATAATTTTAACTGTTCAACAAATAAATCTGATAAGACATTAACAAATGATATATGATTTCAATTCTAGTAAATAACAGGAAAGAAAACTAGGCTTAAAAAACAAAGGGGAAATGAAAGCTATAATATCTTGAAGTACTGCTTTTAATTCCACTCCAAAGAACAATTTTGCTAAAAAGAAATGATACCACATGATCAGAGATTGACCACACCACTTTTAGTTAAATGAACCACTGATATGAGGGCTGCACCTAAAGATAATATGGAATCAGCCAGAAAAGGCTGGAAGTGATATTCTATATATCAGATCAGAATCTTCAGTGCTGAGTCAGATACAGAAAAATAATTAAATGTATACTCATAAAAAAATCTATATGGTGAATTTTATCACATGGGGTTGCTAGTGAAAGAGAGAATAAAATTTAAACTGATGAAATACAAAAAGCCTCCCAAAGATTATGACATTGAAATTCAACATGATGTATTTCTCACAATAAAGTGATTAGCCATAAATATAAAAGAAAAAGTAATAACTGATCAAAAGCAGCATATAACAATTACCTACATAGTCCCACTATGAAAACATTCAACACGATACTGAGATGTATTGAAGGCAACAGGACGTAGAACAGAGAATCTGTTCATTTCATGTTCAATTAATCAATCCCTCATGACTAGATTTAGTTCTGGTCAGCGTACCATGGAAAACTGTGGAGAAATCAGGATGGATTCCTAAAAAGGAAGCCTGCGAGCATTCAAGGCAATAGTTTTCAACCTTTCTTTAACCAGAAGAGTTTCTGGGATACAAATTAAGCACAAATTTTGTCAGTTTTACTTATGTCTCCATCTCTCTCTCTTACTCAAGAGCCAAGTTAGAACCAATATTGTTAAAAAGAAAACCTCTGGTTAGCTTCAACTAATGTATTTCTTCCACAGGCTGATAACTAGAGGGAGGAAAATCAATGTCTAAGAAAAATAAATAAAAGGAAATTAAGTTCTGAAACCTAAAGAAAAGGCAGCGAAGAGGGCAGACAGCTGTGTTTTTAAAAGATACTTTAGGACACTATAATGTGTTTTTTCTTCCAAGAATCCAACTTCACATGACTGATTCATTATGTAAAGGTTCTGCTCCAAAGGGCAGAGACTCTTATCTCTGAACCTGTCTAGCAGACCAGGCACTCAGTGTTTCTGAACTTCATATAAGACCACTTTTTTCTAAGCAAGGCCAATTGAAAAGAAATAGACAGGGTTTACAGCAGGAACCTTTCTTAGCTGAACTGGGGGGGGGGGGGACACATATATACATATCTATCTATCTATCTATCTATCTATCTAGATATATATAGATATATAGATATATATACATACACACATACATACACATACACACACACACACACCAGGATGCTAAGACACAAGAATAAGCTATTTTCAAAAGAGTTGGTTATCTCCAAACATCTTTAGGACAATCGCCTGTCCACATGACAAATCTTCTAGAAGACTAAACCAGATAAATAGTTAATTTCTCTTCTAGGTCTAAAACTCTATATTCAACAACCACACTGTAAGTTTATTACAACTCATGAAGAAACCCTACTTTCCGTCTTAGGGCTCTTAGAAAACAAACCTCACTCAGCGCTGAATACTCTAAAACAGAGGCCACTCCAGTGACCCAGCACTCAGCCAACTGAGATAACCCACAAAATCAACTGTTTTCCTCCTATTGTTTTTTTTTATATCAGTATATCAGAAACTTTCCAGAATAATATATATATATATATATATATATATATATGATCTAATTTCTTAAAATAAACACATCTTTGCAAATACTAACACGTCACCTTTAAAAAAAAAATCCTAAGGGCCCTCGCATGCCCTAACCTCTCCACACTGCACATAAGCATTTATTATGTGCCAGACACTATGCTTATCACATCACACATCTTACATTTAATCCTCACCATCCTATGAGGTAGCATTAGTATCCCCATTTTATAGCTCAGGAACCTGAGGTCCTGAAAGATAAAATATATGCCCAAGGTTATACATTTAAGAGCAGCAGAGCTGGGACTGGAACCCAGACTGTCAACTCGGAAGCCATCTTCCCTCTACTACCAACACCCATCCACACCCAGCATCTCCCTTGGTCTTTGACCCTTCACGTTCTTGCAAACCCGTAGGAGTTTCAGGGTCAGTGGCAATATTTAATATAAAACCAAAACTATGTCTAAAAAAAATTCCACTGAGAATCTATTAAATCAGTAACTTGGTGAAATTTTTACTGAACTAAATGTACCATTAACTGTTGTAAGGGATATAAAACAAAAGACATGGCAGTTGTCCTCAACAAACCTAAAGTAGAAATGAGAAGGTAAAAAAAAAACATGATTTTGATTCCAAAAAAGTGAATGAAACATGATATGCAGAACAAGTGAAAAATGATAAATCCCAAACGGACTAGTTCCAAGAGGTCACAAAGGATGAATTGTGCCAAATGCCCACTTCTGAGAGCTTCGCTGTCCACAGATGGCTACGCTTCACAAGAAGACAGCTCAGAACAGCAGAGGCTGAGATGGGCTGAACCCTGGAATGGCAGCTGGTGAAGAGGGGTGGCCAAGCAGAAAGATGACAAAGACGACCCACCCGATCACTGTCCTGGTCTAGCAGAACTGCAGCCACGCACAGCCTGAGCTCCTATGGGTCCAGAAGAGCAGTGGAGAAGCTGCTGAGGCCACTCTCAGCCACTGAGGCTATCCTGGCCTCCTTACAAATAAACCCCCTTTAACGGGGGTCACCTCAACGTGTTTCTATTCCTTGTCACCAGAAAGAGCCTACCATTGGGACATTAGGAAGGAGTTCTCTGGAAAAAATTCCTAAGTCTCGAAACAGCAGACATAGAAGAATGGAAAGCAAGAGAGATAAGCCTAAAGGAGGGCAGGTAGGTACAAGACAGGTTCAAAGGATGGCATGAAGGCTGAATAAGAAGAGCTAAGGCCCAATCCTGAAAGAAGCCACACTGGCAGGAGGCAGATGACTTATACTGCAGGGGCCTGGAAGAATCTGGCTTTAATCCACTTAGAAAAGAGAAGGGCATGGTGAGTTTTAAGTAAGAGAGTGAGTGACATGATAAAATGATGGCAGATGAGGGTGAATACATGTTCTTCATCCCATAAAACAAGAATAATACCTGCAGTTTACATGAATGATGTTAAGAATTACAGATAGTAATGAGCTTTATAGATACAGTGCATGGCAAGGGAGGGCCCTAAATTTTTATTTTTAAGAAACTAGATGGAGACTGCTACAACAATACAAGCAAAAACAGTATACAAACTAGAGCGGGAACTATGGAAATGGAAAGACAAAGTGTACACAAAGGATGCCGGTACTTCGAATCTCCACAAAATTCCAATTGCCTTTAAGAAAGTACTTCCAAAGAAATATAGCACCGGGCCGGCCGAGTGGCGCGATGGTTAAGAACTCGCTTGGGATGCCAGAGGGCCCCGGTTCGGATCCCACATATGAGGGCCAGTGACACTGCCCTCCACAGCTAAGATGCTGAACAACAGCTCAACCTGGAGCTGGGCTGCCCTGAGTCGCCGGCGACGGTGTAGGCTGCAGCCCCTTTGGCAGTGGGTTGCCATGGGCTACCGTGTGTAGCCAGCAGCCAGCGTGAGTGGCCAGCAGCCGCAGTGAGCGGCCGTCCAGAAGCCGGCGACTGATCTGCCTCGCCCGGGAAGAGCGCAATGACGGTGCCAACTTGGGCCAGTGAAGCAACATCCTCCACAACTAGATTGAAGAACAAAAAAATGACAGCAACTTGTATGTTCCCCTTCCCCCCAGTTCCCCAGCACTGTTCCCATCCCCCCAATTCCCCAATTAAAAAAAAAAATCTTTAAAAAAAAAAAAAAAAAAAGAAATATAGCACCAACAAGGCTCCAATAAGGAAGCAGAGAAAAGTCCTGCTATCCAAAATCAGTTATCAAAGTGTGCATGAAAGCAATTTCAAAGGACACCATTTCCAATTAAACATTCATTTATACCTGCTCCCCATGAGGACCACGGCACTCTGAAATAATAAGTGTTACCTACCATCTTTCCTTAAGTTTAGGCTGTTCCCTCCACATTTTAACCTTATGAAATTGGAATATATAATTGCTTATAATTAATATATTAATTTAGTTGTGAGGCTTGGGTTTCTTCTCCAAAAGCTATCTTTACAATAATGATTTTATAATACATGTGATCTTTAAATAGAGGAAATATGGTAATTTTTTACATTTTCATACATTCATTACAAAAAAATTTAATTAGCATTAAAAATTTCAGAGTTTAATAATAACAAAAAAAAAGAAAAGACCACTTCTTTCACTTCCAAAAATAGAACATGGACAGCCCAAAACAATTCTTTCCAGAAAAACTTCCATTTGCTTCTGAATTGTTCATTTAGTTTTTCTGATTCAACTCCATGATTAAAGATAGTATACTTAAATGTTCTAATTCCACCTTCAAAACCGACTTCCATGGCAGTGTCAGAAGCACTGTCTCTGCTTCAGTTAGTTAATAATTCTTCATGGCATTAAGGTGCCTTCCCCTCAAAATATAAATATATAATCTCAAATTAATGCTTACTGAAACCAACCCCCCCCACCACACACACACACACACACACACACACACACACACACGCGCGCATACATGCACACGCGCCGCCTCCTACTATATCAAAATGTAACACACTTTCACTTGAGAAATATACTTACTTGTGCTTGAGAACAAATTTCACATTTTTGTAGGCAAAGGCTACCAAATAAGTGCTTACTAGGGTCATCACACTATACAGGACAGCAGACTGAATAAGATCCATGTGCCATATCCGCCAATATAACCCTGAATGAAGATAAAGGTGGGGAGGGTACAAAAAGGAACAAAACATTACCACCCAGTTATAAAGGCCTGCTGAAATAATTATAGCTAAGCCTGGTAAAATACAGTCCAGGTTGGGGAATCCCGTATAGTAGATGAGAAACTTCAGAAGTGGGATATCAAGTAAAAAGCTAGTCTCAAGCTTTCCAAGTTCAGAACACTTGAAAAACATAACCTTCCTATTACTAGTCCATATGAGATTTCCACGTCTTCTAAAATGAGAGCTGGCTCAACAAAATCACAATTCAGTCTTCAAATTTCATTCATCGGGGTACTATTATGCTACATATAGGCCATTCCAGAATGCCACGTGCAATCCTGAACCGCGGTTTACATGCTGACGTGGCTATTATCTGAAATCATGGCAGTGCACAGAGCAAGACGTGGGCCATAAGGGCTTCACCCCACGTGGATTTCACGCTGGGTTTACAAGGCCGAAAGAGAAGACAAATCTGGATTTGACTGCCAACAACACTGCACCAGTGAGTCGGTTAATTCAAATTCGGGAAACCTGGGCTGTAAAGACAATTTTGGCCAAGTATGCAGAGTTTTTCCACCCAAGTGGAAAACTCTATTGTCCTAATAGAATGATTAAACAATTTTAAAAAGGTAAATCGCTGGCTGGCCCATGGCAGTGGTCCGATCTCTCATCAAATTAGGAAAACGATGCTCAGCAAGAAGAGGAGGTTCACTTCCAATTCACTGCGCGAGGTAATGGGAACCTCTCTCTTTTAATTCATTATTTTCCAAAATAAGTAATGATACAAGTTTAAGATCTCGTAATGGCAAACTACAGTTGTGCAGGAAAAAACAGCAAGATATACAGCAGGAGTGCTCGCACCAGGGTGCCTGTTTAAATACAAATTCGGGGCTGTCATCCCAGTACTAGTGAATCACAAATCTCTGGGACTGGGGCCCAGGAACGAGCGTACTTTTTAAAAAGAGCCATAAGTGAGTTTCCCGTGATGCTGCCCACCTCTATCCAAACGAGAACCCTGAGGCCCACAGAGGCTACGTGCTTCCCCGAGCTCAGGGCGAGCTGGGGAGCGCGAGCCGAGGACCCCAGCGCTCACTCTAGCGGGTCCGCTCGGCCCTGCCACGTCCTCGATCAGCCCGACCCGCAGGAGGCCTTCCCCGCCCCCGTCCCGCTCCCAGCACTCACAGATGGGGATGGCGGACACGATGAAGGCGTTCCCGAAAAAGAGCGCTGAGGACTTGGCCGAGAGGTTGCGGCTGAAATCCTGAAGGAGCAGGTCCTCCTCGGACTGCTGCTTGGAACTGCCTTTGGGAGCCATAGTGGAGCAAATCCCAGGAGCTTGGAGGGCGGACTGCGCGCAAAGCCCCGCAGAAGCTTTGGCACCGCCCCCACGGCCGCCGTATCCGCTAACGACCCGTCAGCGCTGCGCGCGAAGGCGGGACTCACGTGGCGCGGAGCAAGCTTCCCCAGGATTGGCCAGCCTGGCGCCGCTTCGTGAGCTTCCCGGCGTGATTGGGCGAGCAGGCCAGACTTCCGCATTCTTGATAAGCCACTTGACTCGTTGGCTTCCAGAAGCAGGCTGGGATTTGTAGTTTAATGGGTGCTTTTTTTTTTTTCAATTAAGAATACTTTATTGACATTCCGCTTCACAGATGCTGATAGACTCACGCTTTCCAAGTCTGGAATTCCAAAATAAAAACTTCTGGCTCCGAGTCATACAATCATTCATTCAATAAGCGTATGGTTAGTAGCTTCTGTGTGTCCCCAAGACTGGAGCATAGGAGGAGGAAGAGGAAAAGTATAGCTAATATGTTACACATCCATTTGTCATTAAATATCCTCAAAAATCCTATGATATGTATATCATTACCCCATTTTGTAGGTGAAGCACCTGAGAGTGGGAGACCCTCAGGGCTGGTCTCCCGGGTGTGGGCTCTTTTCACCAAAAGGCAGCCCTTACCTTTGTACAAAAAGAAGGCACTTTTGCTTTTAAGGAACTCATGGCCTCATTGACAATGATAATATTTAACATGTGTCTAATACATTTACGAATTACTATCATTTTATTACTTTTATTTCAGTTAAATCTTTAAAGTAATGTCTCCAAAGCCATGCTAAATTAAGCATAATACTGAAGGCAACGTGTTGGCTGATCTCCATGAAGATCAGAAAATTGAATACACCTGTTAGAACAACTAGATACCATTTTAGCTCTTCAAATTATCACTTTTTCTTCAAAAAATAACCCTCAACTACTTCAATCTCAGCAAAAGCTGTTTTTATCTATTTTACTGACATCAGGCAGAACTTCCTCAGCCTCCAGCCTCCCTATCATCAAATTTTACTGATCTTTCTCCCTCACCTTATCCAAATTGTAATCTACCTCCACAGCTTCCATTCTAATAGCATTGTCCTTTTCAGTCTCTTCTCTATATAGGTACCACAGTGAGTTTTCCTGAACTATAAATCCTTCTGTTATCCATAGCAAGTATTCCCAAATGCCAGAAGTTTTCGCCAATTCACTGCAAAATGAGAAATAAAAAAATAGACTAGCGAATTTTTCAGAAAACTAAAAGTATTCGTTTAAAAATATCTGCATTTATATCATTTTTTATGTTGAAATGCTTTCTCTTTTATTATATGGTGGTGGTGATAGGAGAAGAAACTCTTATTTTTCTCTTCCATCATACTCCTCTCTTAGTTTTTCCTGTCTTAATAAATCACTCCTTTTTTCACCCACTTACTCTGGGTTAAATGCTAGGTTTCAACACTAATTCCTTTCTTTCCCTCTCTATGTATGACCAATTCATCAGCAAAACCGTTTGGCCCTGTCTCTAAAACTAGATTTCCTGCTTACTATTTATAAACTAAGTATATAAAAAGAAGATAAAGATAAAATGAGAAAGCTATAAAATTAAATGGGATAAAAATCATCAGGATATTTAAAAGAAAAAGAGGAAGAAAGTAACATAATAATGGTTAAAAATAATTATATCTGAGAAAAATATTTAAACAATTAAAATAGGAAAGATAAAAGTGTGAAATGTTAAGTAGATAAAAATGTTAAAATTGAAGTGATCAAAGGAACTGAGAAAAATTAATACATTTTGTAAACGAAGAACAAAAACCTCAGATAGTAAATAGAAGCAGAGGAGAATCTAAAATAGTAGGTATTTAAAAATTTTATAGAGGTAAGTTCAAAGAAATATGGTAAGCAATAATGCTTTTATGACAGAGAAGGTTTTTTTGGTGATGGTTACAATGAAGATAATGAAGGTGGTACACTTAAAGTACTGGAGCAGTGTTTTCCTACATCAAATATTACCTAGTTCCTTTTGAAAAGCAGCAAGATCTAAGGATCACTTATTTATATTTGGCATATATGGCCATGGCACCTTGGATAAGCAAAGTAAACAATGTTGTAAAAAACAAAAGAATAAACAACAGTTTATATCCAAACAAAGATCTGCAATATATTTTGCCTATTTCAATATAGTTCAACTCCATGAAGTAAGCAGATGAACTTGATTCCATACCAGCCTGTTCCTAATCTGTGAAGTTCAGGCTTAACATTTCCATTATTTCACTTCACACTTATCAGATTGAAGGGAGAGAGAGGGAGAGGGAGAGGGAGGGAGAGAGGGAGAGAGAGGGAGGGGGATGGAGGGAGGGAGGGAGAGAGAGAGAGAGAGAGAGAGAGATTTAAAGCAATAATATTTATTGCTGTCAGGGATATGGATAATAAATTTCTCTCATCTACTGCTGATAGCTTTGTGGAAGGAAATCTCGTGAGTTAAAAATTAATATACCTTTCTGTGGCAGGCACTGCAAGTTGCCTAGCCAATAAAGAAAACCGCTGCTAGCTCTTCACTGGGACCTTATGAAGAATAATAAATGACTCGTCCAGGGATACTATGGGGGAGGGAAGCTCCTGTTATAAAGCCTATTTGAAACACAAATCTTATTATGGAAATAAGTTTTTTAAAAAAAGATGAAACACTTATATTAGTCTCTAGGTATAGTATTTTAAAGTCCTAACTGAAAGATGATTTACTCTGTTCACCTACATATTTTAGGCACTGGTATATTATTAATTAATTGGTTCAAGCATGCATTCAAATATTTATTGAAAAGCCACTACCTGAAAGCTATTATGCTAGACCTTTGGAAGTATCCAAATAATCATGATAATTATGATTATAATAACCAAAATTTATTAACTTTTTTTATATGTCCAGCTCTATGCTTAACCCTTCACATATATCATCTAATTTAATCCTTATAGCAACACTAATATGTCATTATTATCACCATTTGTCAGATGAAGAAACTGAGATACAGATTAGTAAACTGTCAACGAAAGAAAGTCCAACTCTATAGAAAAATTTTATAAGAATTTTTAATTAGAGTTTAATTGAGCCAAACTGAGGACATGCCCAAAAGCAAGACCTCAGAAGACTGAGAAAATGCTCTAGAGAATAGCAGTTTTGCCGTTCCCTTTATACATTTAGAACCAAAGGAAACATAGGAAGGTTACATGAACTCTATTGGTGGTCGATAAGGGGGAAGGAGAAAGCAAAGGGGAAATCTTTCAGATTGGAAAAAAAGTAAAATGGAAGAGAGATATACTTCTTTTACATTGGTAGTTACAGGTTAGTTAATAATTAACATTTACAGCAAATAGTGATGGTATTCAGGCAACATGATAACAATGAGGAGCTTTGGGGTCATCATGCTCTGGTTATGCCACCAAGGGACTTGAAAAAGAAACTTACTCTAGCATTTCAAAGGTACCGGTATATAACTACTACATTATTCTAGATGCAGAAGAAAAATGGGTATGGCTCAATTAAGGTAAAGATTAACCTTTTACTAAGGAAGCTATAGGCCTGAGAAGTGACTACCCACCATGACCTGCCCAGTTAGAAATTTATGATCAGATCATGCTGTTAGGTTACTTCTGGCAACTGAATTTGTCGTATTTATTATGGACCCCTTTTTCATCCACAGTTGTATCCTTTATAATAAACCAGCAATAGTAACTAAAGCATTTTCTTGAGTTCTGTTAGCTGTTCTTGCAAATGATCAAATCCAAGAAGGGGGTTGAAGGAACTGTCAATTTATAGCCAGTTGGTCAGAGCACAAATGACAACCTGGGACTTGCAATTGGCATCTGAAGTGGGGGACAGTCTTGTGGGACTGAGCCCTTAACCTGTGGAATTTGTGCTAACTCCTGGCAGTTAGTGTCAGAATTGAGTTAAATTGTAGGACACCCGGTCAGTGTCTACCAAAAATTAGAGAATAGCTTGGTGTGGAAAACTCCACACATTTAATGGGGGAAAACCCAGAGACGTGTTCAGAATAGAGTAGAAGGAAATCAGTTATTTTCCTTTCATAATAACTGCAATAAATGAATTGCACCTGGTATATAGGACATGAGATAGTAGTGAGGTCAATATAACTGCAAAACTCACTTTGCCAAAAGGTACTCAAAACTGAGATAGATTAAATAGATAGAATCAACAACAAATATTGTGTACAAGGTCGGACAATTAAGTTCGCGAACTCATCCTAGAAAAAGTGGTACATACCTCATTGCTGAACATCAATCACTCCGGTCACCTTCGAAGTACCCCCCTTGGGAAGTTATGCACCAACACCAGCTCCTAGTCCACCCTTCAAAGCAATTTTGGAACTCTTTTTCTGGAATGGCCATCAGAGCTGTTATCATATTACCCTTGATGTCCTGACTGTGATCAAAATGTCTTCCTTTCAATATTTTCTTTATCTTCAGGTAAAGAAAGAAGTCATTAGGGGCCAGATCAGGCGAGTAGGGAGGGTGTTCCAGTACAGTTATTTGTTTACTGGCTAAAAACTCCCTCACAGACAATACCATGTGAGCTGGTGCATTGTCGTGATGCAAGAGCCAGAATTGTTGGCAAAATGTTCAGGTCGTCTAACTTTTTCATGCAGCTTTTCAGCACTTCCAAATAGTAAACTTGGTTAACTGTTTGTCCAGTTGGTACAAATTCATAATGAATAATCCCTCTGATATAAAAAAAAAAAGGCTAGCAACATCGTTGCAACAAGTTCTCAAACTTAATTGTCATACCTCTTAAACCAAACACAACATGTTTGGGATTTAATCTGCCCCGTAAACTCCCAAATTTACAGAGATTTAAATGCATGCAAAATAGAAAAAAAACTTAAGGTTGTGTGTTTTTTTCCACACCCCTGAGCAATTAACTCAATTCTCCTGGACACTGACAATCCTAACCAAGTGTCTCATAAATTGAGTCAATTCTGATCCATTCAAACCTCCAGCCCTTCTCCTCTCCCTGGAAGTCAGAGGGTGGGAATGAACGTTCCAACCACCTAATCCTGATTGGTTCCC